GCTTCCTATACAGCTGCACTACTGACCCCGTTTTTTCTTTATATTTGTCAGCGTTGGCTGGCGTGTTTTTAAAATATTAATCAATTCCGTGCCTTAAGTGTTACGTCTGATTATTAGGACAAAAGCAACACATAAACATTTATATTTGCTGTACTGCCCGAAGAAAATGACATCCGTACATGTTTAATGATATTGTTATACTTAGGAGAATTTCTAATGAATCACAGTGACATTAAAAGAAGACAAGATCCTCAACCTTTCACCCTACAGAGACAACAGACGACATTAAACAGACATAAAATTTAGTCTTACAGCGTCCATAATCATTGACATTCTTTCGTTAAAGATGGCCACTGGCGGACGCTTAATGCACGTGTGGTCAGCGGGAGTGCTGGCGTTGATGTTGTAATAATAAGTGTGGCCACGGGCCGTAGCAATAAACCAAGACCCCATTTCCACAGATTTTAGATCGATCTATCCCTGTGCGGAGTCCCACTAGATTACTGTCAGCTTAGCCGGCTTAAGCGTCTGTCCCGCCTATTGAAAGCTGTAAGGGGGTAATTAACTATGGTGCGCGCTCGGCTGACTGCAATTTAGCTTGAACCCCCAGGGAGTTAGGTCGATCTAAATTTTAATCCCTGGATCGATCTAAATCTCTGGGAATACACCCCAAAGGTTCATTGGTCCGAGTCTCAAGTAATGCATGAATTAGGCCTAAGTGTATAGTGTACATGTTACAAGGTAAAGTTAATCAGAGGGGCGTGATGTAGCCTATACGATATATATTTCGAACTATCGAAGAGTCGGGGTCCTGCCTTTGATAGTTTATTGAATTGAAGTAGATGTTGGACGTTGAATTTGGACGTTGAATTGCTATCATATAAGCAAGTAACGCCTTTCTCTCTCTCTCTCTCACACACACACACACACACACACACACACACACACACACGCTCTCTCTCTCTCTCTCTCCCTCACACACACACACACACACACTCTCTCTCTCTCTCTCTCTCTCTCTCTCTCTCTCTCTCTCTCTTTCAAATCACAGCAATATCTAGACCTCATTCCAACTCTGCGCGGGATTCTCGCTAAAGTACAAACAGCCTTATCTCCTTGATTGTCTGACACGCCTCAGTAATTTGCATTTGAAATATCTCACATCCTTTTTATTATCTTTTTGAAGCTTTTATTACATGTAATAGAAAAGTATTTATGCATGATATACTATGCGATAATACATGCATTTTTCACGTTGATACTAGATTTATAGCCAATCGTTCCAACGTTAAAATGCATGCCTATTTAACTTCTGTAAATTATCTTCATGTCTTCGCCCCTCGACCCAAAATTAGCATTCTCAAAACGTTTCGTCTGATTAATGTAATGCGAAATATGTGGACGTCGTTTTGTTTTGTTGCATGATCGCAGTGTCTTGAACAAATGGTTGAAGGACATCGGTCTAGCTCGGGTAGTAGAGCGAGGGAAATAACTGACCACTGTCGCTGAGGGTCATCACAGCGTCCCCATTGCCAACTTGCAATTTCCTCACGTGCTGCCTGGTCTTTTTCGCACGGATCACGTGGAACCCGCAGACTTTTTTTTTAAGATCCAAACCTCTACCTATTTGTCACACACCTTCGCTTTATGTCTTTTATTTGAAGTCAGGTCGTGACTTAAGCATTACATTACCTGGGACTATCAGCCGGGGCGTGCATGTACGTAAATAATTCCACTCTACTGGGAAAGTTTAGATTGGAATTGAAAAGCCACGCTTGAGTAGCACGCAACAAGCTCAAGGATCGATTGATCAAAGATGGGGATCGAGGACGACGACAAGGGGACCGACATTCCTCTCCTGGTAAGTGGGATATGCCTTTTTGAAATGCGTTTTAACCCCTTATCCCACTTCAGGGTCAAAGAAGGCACCTTGCAAGTTGTGCGTTGAAGATTGTAACCATTAGCCACTCTTTAAATTTCCGTCTTTGTAATTGTGCAATTTCGCTTATTTTACGACGATTTGACAACTCCTTTTTTCTAGATAAAGTTGTTATGTCCAGGTTGCACAATTTGCCCCCCTAACTAACATGGTGGCAAAACGTATCACAATATTGATATATATTTANGATTGCTATACCAACAGAATGCATGAAATAACCTTAAATAGATTTGCTAATATGCAGTATATATATATTCATGACTTTTTACCTTTCTACGTAGTAGGCCCTATTCACAATGCTTCAATATTTTGAGAGCATGGTTAAAGACATGTTTTTAGTTTGATACGTGTTTCTGTGGTAAATTAGTGTTTCCAGCTGTGTACTGAAAACATAACTTTTCTTCAGCAGTTTTTTTTTGGACTGTTTTTTTTTTTCGCCTGCTCGCACCGATTTTGGGGTCCCCAGAGGATGTCATCCATAAAAATTAAAAAGTGTGGCCTTATACAAAACCATTAAAATTCTTCTCTGTATGTTCTCTCTATAACTTAACATCCTTACCTACTGAAAAATATCTCAAAGCAAAATAGTCGGCTCCAATCATTACCTAATCAATACGTATTCGTTTCAGAATAGTATAAAATAGGTACCTTGGTTCCCCTTGGATAGACGTCGGTTAAATTTTGTCAAGATCCAAGTCAGCAGTCCGCAGACGACACCTCTTTTCCCGCCAAGACGATGAAGTTTATTCTACTTGCTGTTGTCTTGGCCGCTGCAGTTCATGGTCAAGGACAGTGGGGCAGGAATAGTAAAAGGTGTGTTTGTCTCTCTCTCTCTCTCTCTCTCTCTCTGTGTGTGTGTGTGTGTGTGTGTGTGTGTGTGAGAGAGAGAGAGAGAGAGAGAGAGAGAGAGGGATGGGGGAGAGAGCGCGCGAGAGAAAGGTCTGTCACTGTGCAATGCACCAATGCATTTAGCATATTTAATATTAAAAAAAAAGTTTTCAAACAATCTGCTTTACTGAAATAAGATATGTTAAAATATATAGCCACAAGGATTATCTTCTAGTAACAATTGGAGTATGACTTTGTTCAGAGGTTAAAAATTGAGACAAAACCTGTTTGTCATTTATATACATATGAAGAGGAATAAGGATTCTTTCACCGGGGCTGATAAGCAGGTTTATTGGTTTCAGATTCTTTCTCCAGGGCTCGTAAGCAGGTCTATTGGTTTCAGATTATTCTCTGACATATTGTGAACCGAGACTCTCCCCGCCACAGATTCTTAATCAGTTATTATACATGTCTTGGCAGGACTGGACATAGTGTAGGTAATTGGAATAGTCGGGCTAATATCTATCTTTTCCTTAAAAAAAGGGTTCACTTTGGTTATCAACCAGACGGATATGGTGCCCACAGCTACAATTATCAAGGGGGCGGATATGGTGATAGCAACGTATACCGCGGATACGGATACAACAGCTATAGAGATGACTACGGATACAAAGGTACTGGATACGGAAAGCCTTCATACGGATATGACTTGGGCAATAACGGATACAAAACCCATTGGGCGAGCGGGTAGTTACTAATAGGCCTACATGCACTAAGGTAAGGTTTCGACCATACAATTGGATTTTCCATGTCTTTTTATACCTGGATACTGAAATCACTCCAGCATATTCTTTACGGATACCTAGAGCTACGGGAGGGGGGGGGCTTGGCAGAATACAGTTAAAGGTGGATAATCATTTTAAAATGTAGGTACCACAAGTAACCGTTCGCACGTAGTTTCCCTTTTGATAAAAATTACTAAACGCAGAAAAATTCAGTTGAGCGATAAAGACCTACATGTATATGTTATAGAATTGTCAATCCATAAGCTTTTTACTGTCCTGTTTTAACTTTATTTAAATTTATCAGGATACTATGACGACGACGCAGGATACTATGCCGATATGACGACATGAGCCAAGTAACCGTACTCAATAATTACTGGCAGATGAATTACTTGACTGCTTTTGCCGATTAATAGAAAAGTGAAATTTGGAAACGTATTTTGTATTATGCACATAATCTTCCATAGCTTTAATGAAGCATAAAGTTGACTTTCGTGTTATTTCATCAATGTAGTTGTTTAGAGTTTTGAAATCTGGAGCATAGGGTACGCTGGCCCGGGCTCTGCATGCGAGCGTCCCTGGTAAAGGGTGGATCCTCTGCCATTTGATTTACAATCTCATTCCACGGGTTTGCGTCTGGTGATTGGGCAAGCTAGTCCATCCTGTTTATTCCATGCTGTGCAGCCTGCAAATTACGCGACCACTGCAAAACTAATTCGCTGCACGGTTCAAATCCCCAAAGCCTTGGCAGTATAAAAAGACGGTCAAGTCTTCCTCGAGCTGCCTCTTCGTGGTGACTTATGGGCATCACCCGTGTCCTCCACCCTTCTGTAAACCTTGTATACAGCCTGATACCATATCTAGCGGCTCTCTGGGGGACATTTATACCATATATCAGAGAAACAAGTTCTTTTCTTTCTTCATCATGGTAAAAACTCGACAGCCAAAAAGGCGAAGCATCCCCGATGGCCCCCTTCAAAGTACACGTGGATGAAAATTGGTTACGCGAGCTATAAACCACTAATCACATCTTAGCAAACGCGTCCGCGAAGTCACATAGCGTACTATTCACACAGATGCTGCAATACTTACGCCACACCCTCTACATGTAGCTTCTAAGCTGCGTACTCTCAACGGAAGAACTGAGGGAAATAACATTTGTTCACCATGATAATTGCATGTAGGGGCCAGACGGTAGTCAACTACATGTATGTAGTAGTCACTAGATGTCTACTGTACAACGTCAAATATTGCCGAATATCGCACATGGATTATGTGATGTTTGATCGTTGCCTTATAGAATACCTCCTTACATTTTGGAAAAAAAAGCATACATTAAAACGAAACACAAAGTAAAATGCCTTAAAAGCAGCTTTATTAAATAATTTCCGGGGTTGCACGCATATCCCAGCTCTTTAAATTTGGACTGGTTTCATGCAAAACTCACATGCACAACACTGTAGACAAAAAACGCAACAATTTCTTCTTTTTATTAGGATTCGTAGACCATACAGCCCTTAAATAAGGCTTGTTTTATTACTTCGTCAAATTGAGAAATATCTTACAAGACATTTACTTCACAAGCATATACAGAGATCCCTTTCACACACCCATTCGTATAAGGAAAAATATCAGGCTGTGGCAGAAACTTTTCAGTATACTGGCTACTCGGACCACCACTTTTATAAAATCTACCGGTAAAAACCAACATTCACTGGTCCGAATGGAAATTTCAACTGTATCTTTTCCCCCTATCGCATTAATATAAGTAATTAAAAGACCTTGTTTTTGTCGAAAGTTTTTATTTTTAATTTAGAATCACCACGTAACAGTTACGTTTCAGAAAAATCAAATGGAGAGCTTTTTTGAAAACTTACTGAAATTATCTCATGGCCATGCTGGACCACTAAATTCACATATTCTGAAAAAAACTTTTACTGGCGTAGGACCAGATATTAACATCGCTGACTGCAAATATATAATATTAAATAGAAAATTTACCCATCACTTGCAAGTATAATATTTTTTGTGGTGTTAAGGGATTTGTGAAAGGTTTCTCTGTATAACTTTTTCTATGACAAATATATTTTTAAAAAATCAGGAAAAAATCTAATAATTCAAGAGAACTGCGAAACAAAAACACTAGCAATTCACATACCTGTGACTATTATAAACAGCTATCTTTCATTCACTTGAAAATATGTACCTGAACACATTGTACATTTTTCATCATAATTATAAATCAGCTGTAACCTTTCTCTACATAACACCCAATTTTCTTTTCTTTCATTGGTGTTTAAATATGTGAAATTATGGTGAACTAAGTCCTATCGCTAAAAAATCAGTTTATTTTTTCTATATTTTTTTATGTCTGTATATATATTTATATATATATTGCTCCTATTACTATGAAGCTGCTCCTACACTGCTACTTAAAAATGTGCATCTGACAAAAGAATGATTCTCTTTATATATGCATTATTTATCTTTTTTCTTTCTATTGAATGATGTTTTGCATAAGACAATTAAAGATAAGACCAGATTAAAAAGAAATACAATCAAATATTATCATACAATATAATAAATACATAAATATAATTCATGGCAGCTGGCTAATGACAAGAAAGATTTTGTTTTCACTTAGATTAAAAAAGTTCACTGTGAGACAAAATTCTCCTTGGTGGTCCCTCAGCTCATTGGTGCTCCCTGGACAGTGATCACCAGGTGGCGAGATCCTGTAATCACAAGACAAGACCAATACAAAGTGAAAAGTTTTAGTGCCATACACACAGCAATACAAGCAGGCTGTGTTATAAGAGTGATATATGGGGTTCAGTGCAGGTCAAAAGAACCATCATTTGGCTATAAGAAGTCCACCCTGCATAAAAATATTCAATAAAATCATAACTCACGCTGAATCTTTTCAGGGGTAAAAGAGGTCCACTTACTCAGATTAAAACAAACTATTTGAAAATGCTGGTTCCTTGCCTGTTACAATGTACCACACAGAAATTCCTTCACCTACTGCTACAATCAGTCTTAGGCCCCATTCAGAATAGGGGTCTAACTAGTCCGAGGGTCAAATATGGCGACCCACTACAAAGCTTGCTGTCTAATATGCTAATACACACTGAATAAATTCCCTGTGGAAAAGTATTTAAGTGGGTTGGCCATATTTGACCCTCAGACTAGTCAGTCCCCTATTCTGAAAGGGGCCTTAAAGTGTGACAAAACCAGATAATAATTCATTCATGATTTTCCCCAGTGAGAAGTCCTACCTCCATGGTTCCTGTGTTCACACAGCCACACACCTTGCCACTGTCCTATGTTCAGTTTACCATTAGTAATAGGTAGGGTTAGACTACTGCCCATGAGACAGGCCTTGAAATGAGCTGGCTGAAATGATTTAACACATTGAGTATCATGTTTATCATTGGTAATAGGTAGGGTTAGACTACTGCCCATGAGACAGGCCTTGAAATGAGCTGGCTGAAATGATTTAACACACTCAGTATCATGTAAAAGTAAATGAAAGCAAAAGATACGATGTTAAGCATAGGTAATTTAAAATGCTTTTGAGTTTTAAGGCAATAATAATTATGTTAACAAGAAAAGCACTCATAGTGCAGACCTCTACCAAGACAAATAATTGATTCATACACCCCATTCTCATAGATTAGATCGACCTACATTGGATCGACCTAACTCCCTGGGGGTTCACCCTAAATAGCTGTCAGCCGGGCGGACACGAAAGTTAATTACCCCTTATAGCTTGTAGTAGGCGGGGACGGACACTTAAGGCGGATTATCTGACAGTAATCTAGTGAGACTCCCCGCGGTGATAGATCGATCTAAAAGTTGTGAGAACAGAGCCATAGTTAACTATTAATCAATAAATGGATTGTCACCTAAATCTAATCCCCAAATTATCCCCTTTGTGGCCTACCCTGAAAATTTCATCAAAATCATCATTAGCTTTTTAGTAAGGCTTGTGGTGAAGAGAAAGACAAATACAACCAACAGATAGAGGTGAAAACATATATTAACCTCGCTGACAGAGGTAATTTATGTGTAAAAGTACAACTAAAAACAAAACCTTAAAGATGGTTTCATGCCTTGTGAAAATTATTAATTTGGTTTTAAGTGCATGTGTATCACAGGTATGTCGGGCAATCATTAAATGCATATATTTGAAAGACAAAACTTGCAAGCTCTAAAATGGACTGACTGTATAATGTAAGTCCTACATAATAAGCTTATCACAGGGGGTTTATACTGAAAAAACAGATTTTCCATGTGCCTTTAAAATGAGCTGTGTAAAATGAAATATATCAGGGCAATTAGAGGTGAAGGGAGAGTCCAGTCTGATATAACTTACCATGTCATCTTTGCCTTCTATGGTGTGAATGTATGGTGCATTCTGAAATAATATGAGAATAAAAATAATATGAGAATGTGAAGAATACAAGAATGTGAATAATATGAAAATATAAATTGTATGAGAATGTACTAGTAAATGAAAACTGACCATCTGATCAAAACAAAATAATAATAATAATAATAATAATAATAATAATAATTATTATTATTATTATTATTATTATTATAACAAAAATGGTGATTAAATATATTTCAAAAAATGTTCTTATTCTAATTAATGTACTATGATATATGATAATTTCAAATTCATACTTACTTCTGGGACAAGTCTGTTCAGCATCATTTCTGAGTCCACCCTGTGCGAAAAATAAAAAGTGAAAACCTGCAAATAATTTCTAAAACAAAAGTTTAAAGCAAAAGTTTAAATCTGAAGTTTTGGTCATTAAATATATCTGCTTTACAATAATGTTGGACTTAAACCATACATAAAAACAGATGAAAGAATGAGAAAGGACTTAAATATATATATGCAAGTTTTTCTTTCAATAAATAAAAAAATAAAATTGGCCACATATATATTAGCTACAAAGTACTTTCATTCTGATAAATGATGATAACTTTGTTAATTAGTGACTTCGAAACGCATGGTCACATACCTGACATCTGGGTCCCATGACTGAAAATACATGTGAAAAAAACATCTGAACAGAGGAAACACTGGTCATCATTATTTCAATTAATTTAAGTTTTACATCTTTCCTTCTGATTAGCATCTTTATTTCAGTTCTCACAAACTTTACTATCTTATATTTACGATTTAAATGGTATAATCTATATACGGAAGATAACAGAAATTTAAAAAGTAAAAAGTTCTGAGGACACTTGTTCACCAGGTTCACTGTTCATAACCTTGTATGGACTATTGCATAACTTTTCTGATAAAAAATACCATTTTGAAAATTGGCATTGATTTTCAAGATAAAGAGTTGTGCCAGTGAACATACAGACTGTTACACAGTGTTTGCCTCTTAGGAAAATAAGTTGCTGGACCGAAAATCCAGCCATCTTGAAAAGTAGCTGGACTGAATGTCTGCTGGGTGAGAAAACTTCTCAGCCCGTTCTAAAAGTTGTCAGCCCAGGGCAGATGGTCCAGCCTTAATTTCTAACACCGTACAGATATATTACTACCCATACACAACTACAATACATCTGCTGTCTAGTGATGAAATTCAATGGACCACCAGTCTGGTACTGGTAGTTAACCCCCCACCCCCCCACCCCCCCAACCCACACACACATTTGTGAACTGTGGCATACATACCTCATTCAAAGCCAAACTGGCTGAAGTATGCTTGACTGGAAAAGAAAGTCAGAGTTAGATTTAAAGCAGTGTCATACTCATGCAGATACCTTGTTTTTCAACGCAAACACACTTTTTTTAAAAATTTGGATTCATAAAAACACATTCAATGTGTACTTAATTAATTGCAACACCTTTCAAGAGCTATTACAGCATTTTATTCTACAGTTTGTGATATTTAATGTATAAATACTGTATACTAATAAGCATAGGATAGTAATTAAAACGTATGAAACCGTGCTATTAGTAGTTGTACTATTATTTAGAGAAATGTAAACTTTTTTGCAAAATGAATAATTAGTTCAATTAAGGTCAAATCCAATTGACATGCTTAAAAACCAGTTTATACGAATAAAGATATACACAAACTTCTTAACAAAGCCCGGAACAAAAGCGATCGAGTCATATTAAGGAGTTATTTTTGTATGGTTTCTTAATTAGCGCAATGGAATGGAAATCAAAACAACTCACTCAAAATATGTGCTAGCCCGACTCTGATTTTGGCAAGTTCTGGAATATTCTGAATCTCCTGAGTTATTACATGACAGCCTCTTTTTTGTGCCTTAAGTGTTATTTCCCTCTGATACCAGACGGCTCCTTGTGCGGACATTTTGCTCACGTCTAACAAGTCACTAAGGCCGTCGTCTTTATCATCGGCCATTCCATTCAGTGGGTCAAAGGTGAAAAATTAGGAGATCGACATCCGAAATCTGTCACGAGATATGAGAAGAAATTATAGGTGAAATGACAATAAAACAAAATATTATTTGTAAAATAAATTACCACCTACCATAAATTTCTTAATTTGTATTTTTATTATTTATTTGGTCAATTGTTTGAATTTCTTTTTATATAGCGTTCCATATTTCGGTAAAAGCTGTGTGTCTGTAGTCCCTGCAGGTGTTCCCAAACCTCTTCATTTTGACCTCGATTTGGTTAAAGAGATACTCAGGTCTCTCTATTCAAAATGAGGATTCAGCGAGGAGAGTAGCTGCAAGTGTCATAACAGATAGAAGCGGCTCGTAGTACGCACGGCCAACGTTTTCTCCAGGCATTATTATTATCAGCTGAATTTATGACCGAAGAATAGACAGGTAAGTAAGGCTTTTGTTTTTATGAATTTTGGGAACTCGTGATGGGGAAGTGTTTGAAGGACCCTAAAGTAGAACGTCCATTAATGGTTTTAAAAGTCCTGTGGTCAAAAATGGCCAGTCCTCAAATGCAATTTACTTTAGTCTGACCAGGAATTCCCTGGTCTGACCATAAGTTAGTAAAGGGGCACTGGATCTGTATATTGCTGAAACCACAAGAGCGGATCCAGGGTTATTCGAAGGGGAGGGAGGCGGGTTTTAGACAGGCCGCAGAATGCGAAGCCGACCCTCGCCCCGCTGAAGGGCCCCAAAAATTTTTGGCATTTTAGGGGGCGAACGGTGCCATTTGGTGCGGTTTAGAAGTATAATTCAGCTAGTCAAAATTCTAATTTGAAGAGGGGATGATTGGTGTGATTTTTTTAGAAATCGAAGGAGGAGTCAGGACACCCTAACACCCCCTAAATCTACCACTGAACCATCTTGTAATTTTTTCTAAAATGCATGAGTCATCCAAGAATTAAATAATGTTTGGTTATTTTAATAATATATGACTTATGTGAAAATGAAAAAATATATATTAAAATATGTGTTTTTAAGATTTCCCTGACCAAGTTCAATTGGAATTGGGATGGAAGTTAAGGAGAGGGGATGTTAGATAAAATTGCAGGTATACTAGTACATAAATATATGCAGGTAAATATATAGTATAAATAGCTGATGTGCCCCTGCCCTCCCCCCTTCCCCCTCCAAACTTAAAGTAATACCAAGATGTGACCTTTTTAAATGTTTCTTTTTTGTACAGAGGTGGTCAATGAGAATGGCATGCTGCAAGGGTAAAATTTGGGACAGTGCGTATAGTCACCCATTGTTTTTTTTTTTTTTTTTTTTCGGAAACATTATCTTCTTGAACAAGGTCAGACAGTTTCTATTATTTATTAGGCTCATTTGGTTTTAGATAAATAGAGGACTTTTTCTGAGGTTAAAAACTGGGACATTGTCAGCATGATGAAAGCATTTGTAGAATTTTTGTTGTAACGTATTCAGTCACATTATTTTGGTTAATGCTGGTGCTCTTTTCAAGTGAAGTGAATGGCATTTAATTAACTTTAGGTCCAGGTTATATATCTTTTATAAAATCTCCCTTTACACGGTAAATTTGTTTTATAAGGGAAATTTGGTTTTTAAAAAAAATAAACTGGTTTTTCTGGGGTTAAAATGTGGATCATTGTCAGCATGATAAAAACATTTCAAGATTTTTTTTTGTTTTTGTTGTGAGCTCAGTCACATGAATTCAGGTTGTCTTGTGACATGAAAAACTAATGACTTTTCTGAGTTTAAAATGTGGGACATTGTCAGCATGATGAAGGCATTTCCATTTTGTTGTTGTGTACTCAATCACATGGTTTTTGTTTATCCTGCCACTTGGGTCTGTACTGTGTTTATATATATATTTTTAATCTCCTTTTACAACATCAGTCTGTTTTATTAGGGAAATTGGATTTTAGAAATATAAATGGCTTTTTCTGAGGTTAAAATCTGGAACACTGTCTGTATGATGAAAGCATTTCAAGATTTTTTTGTTGTTGCTGCTGTGAGCTTAGTCACCTGAATTAAGGTTGAGAAAATGTTTAACTTTTCACTTCCCACAAATGTTTAAAATGTTCTCAATATGATGTATAATACTACTACTAGTACTTCAATCAGTGTGCTGACATTGCTCTTTGCTAGTGCGCCAGTCTGTAGGTTATTTATGCCATGAATTATAGTGGTGCTGTATGTTATCATGGAAAATGCATAAACCTGAAAATAGAGAGAAAAAAATTAATAAAATAGATAAACCCGAAAAAAAGAGAGAAAAAATTGTTTTTGGAGCGGTGCTCAATATTGTCATTAAATGGCACTCCTACCTAAAAGAAAAAAATGTAATTTGCTATTGGAATCAATAACTGACAGCACCTGTTTCTTTCTAAATTTATTTCACTAAATGGATACTGCAGCTATTATTCTGCTCTGTTGGCTCACTTTAATGGGGTCAAAAACTGGGACACCCAGGTGACTCTAGAACACAATGCGTCAGCACTATCTTCTGTTACATCAGTCTACTAGGAGTGGGGTCTGGCATTATTGTACTACAAGTGACATCATACAAACACACATGTATATAAATATATCTGTGTTCAGATGATGAGAGGCAGAATTAAGTTGAAGAATTTGTAAGCAGACTGTTAAGGTTGCTTGTGAGATTTATAGGTAAGTAGGCACTGCAAAGGTGTGGAGAAGATTGTGTTTGCTTCACCACAGTTTTCATTTGTTTGCCAGAACTCTGGTGGTCAGGTAGACACTATTACATGTACTAGTAAATTAAAGTGCACTGCTGTTTCTTCAGTTTTTGGAAGGCTATAAAGATATGTATGAATATCTGAAAGTCAATTGTGAGACTATTCATGATATATTGCCATAGTGCAGAAGGACAAGCACTATATAGGTCTGACAGATAAAATATTCAAAACTTTGTTTAACCCAGTATGTTTACTTCTAACATAGATCTGTGAATGGAGTCTCAGATTGAGTAAAAAAAAAGCTTTAAGACTTAAAATGTCTCCACCAAATCCATAGTGCTTAGTAGTTTACTATTTGAAAAAAAAAAATCAGTCTAAACTCTGAAAACATAAACCATTTCCTTCTTTTTATAAAACCTGACTACATTTTATTGACAGGTAAGTCGGCCATGAATGATTTATCTTGTGTCAAAATCCAGGTCTTAAAGTCATAGACAATTTGAAGATCTTTTGTAAGACTGACCAGTATTCCTTCACAGGTAGATTGGTTGATCGGGGATTTAGTTGTCTGCGTCACCGCGGGGCCAATACGACCACTACAGTGTCCATTTCAGATTTCAATAGCTGGCAGATAAATTCATTTATGTGATGAATGTGGCATTTTAGACACTGATTCTGTGATCTCTGATGGAAGGTGACTTTGCAGTTATGGTAATGAACATTTTACAAATAACAGTGCCACCGCAAATGGGCTGTACTAAAAGGGAAACATGTTTCCATAGCAGTTATAATAATATCAAGTTTGCTGTTGAGGCTCAACTAAGAGTACAAATAAAGAATAAAAATTCTTTCACTTCGCTTAGTTGGAAAAAATATCCTTTGCAGTCTTTGCTGATAGACTGCTTTGACTTACAAGTAATTGGTCTTGTGAAATGCCCCCCCCCCCTCTCCACAATAGTTTTAGTTTTTAACCCGTAGATGTGTCTTCAAGCCTCAGTCAGGTAAGTGGTATTGGCACAGTGATAGTTGCTAGTGTGCAAGAAAAATGAGCAAATAAAAGATAAGGAGACTGATTTTTTTTCCTATTTTGTTTGTCAAAATTTTATGGGTAATATGGTGGCTAACAGTTGATTATTGATTTCAAACCTGTCTAGTGGTGGATATTTGCCTGGTGTTGGACCTGATATAGAGTTTAAAATGTTATAAATTTATAATAACATGTAGGAGTCGCTCCCTTTTTTCATATTTGGTGGGTCACATCAGTCATCACCCAGTTTATTTCCATTCTTTTTTTTTAGTGTTGGGGGAGGGGGGGGGGAGAGGGGGAAGAACAAGAGCACAATTTGTTTTGCCCCTTTCTCTTGGTAGATGGAAATCATGAAATTTTGAATTATGGGTATTTCATTTTTATCAATACACTTTAGAAATACTATATGGTTGTAATTTACATTTGAAAACTTTTATCAATAGATTAATATGTAGTGAGATCCACATCTCAAATATGCTCAGACAGAAAGGCAGACATATAACATTTGTTAAAGCTGCCCCCCCTCCCCCTCCACTGACAGCCTCCTTTTGTTATTTGGTGTAGTTTTTTTTATAGAAAAGAAAAGAAAAAGAAGACAGAAAAAAAAACTGTCACAAGTTTGTTTAAGTACATAACCAGTGTTTGAAGATTATGAACTTATGATCTACAGGCAATCTTAAACCACCTTTTGGAGTATTGATGTAGTTAAAAAAGTACCTGAGGAAAAAAACTTCTTCACCATTGATCTTAAATGTAAATATGTAAACAATCCTATATTGTGTAATTGATGACTTTGGCACAGTAAAGTTGTGAGGAAAGTGTAGTATTTCTTGTAGTAAGTAAGATGTTAATTTACAAGGAGAAGATGTACAAGGAGGAGATTACAGATTGGTGTCATTCTTAAATATCTTGTTGTGATGTAGTATTTCTAGTTACTAATTGAGTTGTTTAAATAATAAGACAAGATTAAATCAAGTTAAAACTTAAAGAGGTATACAGTTAGGTGTCATTCTTAAATACTACTGTGATGTAGTATTTCTAGTTAATTATTGATTCATTTAAGACAGATATAGGCAGGTTGCAATAAGTACATTAATGAAGCTGGGAAAACAATCACTATCATAAATTGAGACCTGCAAATTAGTTGCCAAGGAAATATCCAATGTCTGGATGTTGAAGAAATAAATATATGTCAGCTTTGTGTTTAGTATCAATTTTTGTTTTTAAACACCTGTTAGAGAATATTTGAAGTGTTTACCCTAGCCTAGTAGTATGTTTAACAGGAGGGATATTGATAAGAAAAAGTGGATAGAGAGAGAGAGAGAGAGACTTACTAGTAATATGATATAATTAATCTTGACTAGTCAGAAATTGTGATATGAGACCAAGCCCTGCAGTTACAATTCATTTCACCCTCTAGAATTACATAACAAAGGTGAAGGAACACACCAAAAATGAGAATTGTACATAAGGCTCGCTACACGTCATACCCCTGTTTACAAAAGCGTCCCATATATTGCCCCCCTGGTTTTACCTGACCTTGATATTGACACTGGTTTGGACGTAGCCTAGTTTGCGCCCTCAGATTGTAGTGTCAATGGCAATGTAATGTGATATGGTCACATATCTTCCACTGTACATTATACACGCTGGCTGCACCTCAGGTACTGAAGGGAGTTAAATATTCAGGCCTTTGCCTGGTTCTTCTTCCGTGTCCTTTTGGGTCTTTTGTTCAGTGCTCATTTTGGTGGATTTATATAAGTAGCTCCAATAGGCTGCTGCTGGGTATAGTAATAAGCAGTTGACTTCTGTCAAGACAGGAAAGGTGCTGTGTACTTCAGTACATCAAATGGGTAATAGAGGGGTAAGTGGGTTAATACAACTGTACTGTATGGAGCTTATTATGAAATTTAAAAGCACCTGGTGGGTTGCTTCCACTTTATGTGATATATACATTTACTGTAGGATTTAAGAAGATCAGTAAACAAATTATTTTCTGCTCAGACTCACCTTGTGGAAAGACTGGACAGATACTTAGGCTGTATTCAGAACAGCAGAGTGACTGGTCTGTTACTGTTAATGTTACACAGGGATATATATATATATATATATATATATATATATATATATATATATATATATATATATATATATATATATGTTCAGCTGATACTTTTGAAATTGTAAAAGTATACTTTTTGGATTTTAAAATGCACCTAGTGGGTTATTTAACAGCAGTATATGCGGTAGTTAAATGTCCTAGATTTTTATCATATATAAATCTGTAGGAATTGACTCAGATAATGCAGTAATTTATTTGCACTGGCTATTGGTATTTTGGAGTACCAACAAGACACCTTTGGTCATGGGGGAGAAGCAGAAACCTTCGGCAAAATATCATTGTTTTTCAAACACTGTATCGGTGATGGCACATGAAGAAGATGGTGCAATGTAACTTTATAAGTTAAATGTGAAATGCATTAGTTTAGTTTAGGTGAAAAACTAATTAAATCTTACCATCAGATATACTCTATTTATCTTGAAAGTGAGTAGATACCCTATCAGGGTGTTAGAGTTCAATGTGTTTGATATCTAAGGCCGCAGTCACACTGACCAAACAGATCCAACCTGATACGACCCACCTGCGGCCGCTATCTGCAGCTCTGGTGGTAGTCCAACAGGGCAGAAAGGATTTTTTGAAATAATATTCCTAGCAGTAATTTCCAGAAATATGACACAAAAGTACAATCTTAATTTCTTGCAGTCATGCCGAGCAAATGTTAACTTCTGATTAAAATTCTGTAAAAATTGACAACGGTACATGTAGAACGAATGGTGTTAAACCTTCTTTGAGCTAGTGTGAACATCTCTGAGTTATAAATGAATGACATTATCAATAAAAGCCTTGTGACAAGTTCACGCTCACAAAAGTGTCATTGTATCAAAGTTCAGGTTATATAAATTTATGACCATTGATGATAATGCAGTTCACTTTCTGTTTCTTTTCCAAATTGGCAGAGTTTGGCAAGGTTTAAGAAATTTCCGGTAAAGCTGGCTGCAGGGTCTGGGAGTCATCTAGCAGAAACATTTGACAGTAAATGAACAAATTTAATTAATTTTACTGACCCCCTCTCAAGTTTAAATGGAAGTAGGGATTGGTCAGCACTTGTCAGTGCCATGGACGGTGCATTAAATGTTGATATTGGTGTTTTATTTTTCAGATAAATTCAAGTCTTTGGGAGTATTGAAAGAGATAAAGAAGAATACTAGGAAACAGGCTGACATTTATTGTGGAAAAAACAGCAGGAGAATTCTTAGTGAAAGCGCCCAGATCAAAATTAAGAAGAAGAAAAATCAAAAGTGAAACCCTATGTGGAATTAAAATATTAAGAAGGAAAACTCCAACAGCTGAGGAATATATGTGATAAAATATAACATACCATTTATTTTAGTTTTATACCCATTGCTACCTCTGAAAAAAATCAGAACCAAATAACTACAACATTTATGAGAAGTCTTCTTTATTTATCATTTATTGAGTTAAGTGTATTAATCCCAGAAGCCAACCTGAAAAGGTGACTGTACTTAAAAAAATTGTCTTTCATCAGTCAACTTTATCAGTTGTATGTTTTGTAAGAAAAACTTAAAAAACAACTCAGCATGAAGGAAAAAGAGCATAAAAATCCCAACAGTATAGAACTGATGGGTTACATACCAGCACAACCCCAGTCAGATTCAAATGGAGAAATAAAACAAAATAACAATTCAAAAAGAAACGGCGAGCCTCACTACACACATCACCGTGTAGACTTTAAGGATGAGGATGATGATGATGGAGGATTTACGGAGATTCCTTTAAATGGAAGAGCGGACCCCATGTCTTCACAGCCTGCAGATCATACTGAGGTGGATGTAGAGGTGAAACAACCCAAGTGGTGAGTACTGTTATTACTCTTAAATTTCACACACCTTATAGTTACTGTAGTATAAGTTACAGTTAGTGGTGGTTGTCCTGGCAATTGCTTTCCCAAACTTTTTGTATAGAGAGAGAGAGAGAGAGGGGGAGGGGGGAGGAAGACACACAGAGAGAGGGGAGAGAGAGAGGAAGGGAGACACAGAATGAGAGAGAGGAAGGGAGAGAGAGAGTTAATGATTTAACAATACTGTACATGTACATAATAATATTTTGTACCTAATCACCATGGCTTTGGTACATTTGACTATCTATATGTATACAAACATATTTGCTTTATATTCATCATCAATATTGTGGTACAATGTGGCCTTATGTAAAGTCCTGTCATATGAATGGATTGTTATCTGTATACAGTACTAGTACATGTTATCTATCTTCAGTTGACATCACTGCCATGTGAGCCTGATAGTGCATTTCATAACTACAGACTAGGTTATCTAATTAAAGTCAGAATTAAGAAATTGAAATACTCTATGAGTTCAGTTTTGATTGCATTTTTATGTACAGACACAGATGTGTCTGTACATATAGCCATCATCTGCGTCTGTCGTCGCCGTCGGCGCCGTCGTGCACTTTTACCGATAACACGATAAGTGGAACACCGTTTTTGCTTTATAGAAGTTATAGAAGTTATAGAAGTTATGCTGTTTTATCACATTTCCTCAGATTCAATTATTAGGCATGTGAACAGTCTCATTATTTAACTAATAAGATACGTAAAAGTGTTTGTTTGATATTTCCTGCATCTTTACAACATTGTTAATTGATTGTGTAAAAATGATGGTAAACTTCTTATCGTGTATTGTGTAATAAAGTGTCAAAAATGGTAATAAACTCATCATTGCAGTTTGTCAGATTCAATCATCCACTATGTTCAGAATCTCAGAATGGAGGAAATTGGACATTAAACACTGTTCTATTGATTTTTTTCCCATCTCATCAATTTTCTTAGTTGGTCATATAAAAATGGCAACAAACTGTTTATTTTGTTTTATGTTAAAAAAATGTTAAAAATGGAAATAAACCCATTTCAGAACAGTGCTGTCTTGTTTACATTTTGGCATTTTTAAGATGTGACTTTGAAGTTTCATGAGCCTGCAGACCTTTGCTAATCACATTTTCTGAATATCCATGATACTAATATTTTATGATTAAAAATTGATGGTCATTATGCTGTTAAACATTATGTAATATTGCATCAAAATTTGAAGAAACCCCTATTTTGGGCACTGCTCCCATGATGACCATTTAAGAAAAACCATGTCACTTACTGTTTTCAAACTTACAGGAAAGAAACATAGGGCTAAAATACAGCTTCAGTAGGCAATGCAGTCTGTTTGGTAATTTTTTCTGGCAGTTAAATAGTTTTTTGTGAAAATTTAATTTTTCACATATTGGCATTTTCAAGGTGTGACTTTGAAGTTCCATGAGCCTGCAGACCTTTGCTAGTCACGTTTTCTGAATGTTCATGTTACTAATATTCTATTAATAAAAATTGATGGTCATTATGCTGTTAAACATTATGTAATATTGCATCAAAATTTGAAGAAACCCCTATTTTGGGCACTGCTCTCATAATGACCATTTAACAAAAATCACGTCAATTACTGTTCTCAAACTTACAGGAAAGAAACATGGGTCTAAAATACAGCTTCAGTTGGCAATGCAGTCTGTTTGGTAATTTTTTCTGGCAGTTAAACAGTTATTTGTGAAAATTTAATTTTTCACATATTGGCATTTTCAAGGTGTGACTTTGAAGTTCCATGAGCCTGCAGACCTTTGCTAGTCACGTTTTCTGAATGTTCATGTTACTAATATTCTATTANGGGGCAGAGGGGAAGAACAAGAGCACAGTTTGTTTTGCCCCTTTCCCTTGGTAGATGGAAATCATGAAATTTTGAATTATGGGTATTTCATTTTTATCAGTACACTTTAGAAATACTATATGGTTGTAATTTACATTTGAAAACTTTTATCAATAGATTAATATGTAGTGAGATCCACATCTCAAATATGCTCAGACAGAAAGGCAGACATATAACATTTGTTAAAGCTGTCCCCCCCTCCCCCTCCACTGACAGCCTCCTTTTGTTATTTGGTGTAGTATTTTTATAGAAAAGAAAAAGAAGACAGAAAAAAAAACTGTCACAAGTTTATTTAAGTACATAACCAGTGTTTGAAGATTATGAACTTATGATCTACAGGCAATCTTAAACCACCTTTTGGAGTATTGATGTAGTTAAAAAAGTACCTGAGGAAAAAAACTTCTTCACCATTGATCTTAAATGTAAATATGTAAACAATCCTATATTGTGTAATTGGTGACTTTGGCACAGTAAAGTTGTGAGGAAAGTGTAGAATTTCTTGTAGTAAGTAAGATATTAATGTACAAGGAGAAGATCTGTCCACACAAGCGTAAGATATGACTGAAGAGATTACAGATTGGTGTCATTCTTAATTATCTTGTTGTGATGTAGTATTTCTGGTTACTAATTGAGTTGTTCAAATAATAAGACAAGATTTAACTTAAAGAGGTATACAGTTAGGTGTCATTCTTAAATATCCTACTGATGTAGTATTTCTAGTTAATTATTGATTGGTTTAAGACAGATATAGGCAGGTTGCAATAAGTACATTAATGAAGCTGGGAAAACAATCACTATCATAAATTGAGACCTGCAAATTAGTTGCCAAGGAAATATCCTATGTCTGGATGTCAAAGAAATAAATATATGTCAGCTTTGTGTTCAGCATCAATTTTTGCTAAAAAAAAAAAAAAAACAAACACCTGTTAGAGAATATTTTTAATGTTTACCCTACCCTAGTAGTGTGGCTAACAGGAGGGATATTGATAAGATTAAGTGGATAGAGAGAGACTTACTAGTAATATGATATAATTAATCTTGACTAGTCTAGTCGGCCAAGCCCTGCAGTTACAATTCATTTCACCCTCTAGAGTTACATAACAAAGGAACGCACCAAAAATGAGTATTGTACATACTGTGTGCTACATGTCATACCCCTGTTTACAAAATCGTCCCATATATTGCCCCCCTGGTTTTACCTGACCTTGTTATTGACACTGGTTTGGACGTAGCCTAGTTTGCGCCCTCATATTGTAGTGTCAATGGCAATGTAATGTGATATGGTCACATATCTTCCACTGTACATTATACACGCTGGCTGCACCTCAGGTACTGAAGGGAGTTAAGTATTCAGGCCTTTGCCTGGTTCTTCTTCCGTGTCCTTTTGGGTCTTTTGTTCAGTGCTCATTTTGGTGGATTTATATAAGTAGCTCCAATAGGCTGCTGCTGGGTATAGTAATAAGCAGTTGACTTCTGTCAAGACAGGAAAGGTGCTGTGTACTTCAGTACATCTAATGGGTAATAGAGGGGTAAGTGGGTTAATACAACTGTACTGTAAGAGCTTATTATAAAATTTAAAAGCACCTGGTGGGTTGCCTCCACTTTATGTGATATATACATTTACTGTGGGATTTAAGAAGATAAGTAAACAAATTATTTTCTGCTCAGACTCACCTTGTGGAAAGACTGGACAGATACTTAGGCCACATTCAGAACAGCAGTGACTGGTCTGTTACTGTTAATGTTACACAGGGATATACAGGCCCATAGCCAGTAAATTCAAAAGGGGGGTTCTTTTTCTGAAAAAGTGGACCTTTAACAATGAAACTTATGTGTACCTAGATCAAATTTTGCCTAAAATGGACCTTTTCCTGACAAAAGGGGTGGTTCTTTCGAACCCCCCGAACCCCCCCCTGGCTACGGGCCTGGATATATATATATATATATATATATATATATCCCTGCATAGATAGATAGATAGATAGATAGATAGATAGATGTTCAACTGATACTTTTAAAATTGGAAAAGTATACTTTTTGGATTTTAAAATGCACCTAGTGGGTTATTTTACAGCAGTATATGCGGTAGTTAAATGTCGTAGATTTTTATCATATATAAATCTGTAGGAATTGATTCAGATAATGCAGTAATTTATTTGCACTGGCTATTGGTATTTTGGATTACCAACAAGGCACCTTTGGTCATGGGTGAGAAATAGAACCCTTTGGCAAAATATCATTGTTTGTCAAACACCGCATCGATGATGGCACATGAAGAAGATGGTGCAATGTAACTTTAAAAGTTAAATGTGAAATGCATTAGTTTAGTTTAGGTGAAAAACTAATTAAATCTTACCATCAGATATACTCTATTTATCTTGAAAGTGAGTAGATACCCTATCAGGGTGTTAGAGTTCAATGTGTTTGATATCTAAGGCCGCAGTCACACTAACCAAACAGATCCAACCTGATACGACCCACCTGCGGCCGCTATCTGCAGCTCTGGTGGTAGTCCAACAGGGCAGAAAGGATTATTTGAGTAATGTTCTTAGAGATATGACACATAAATACTATTTTACCTGAAAGTAATACGTATTTGCAGTCACACAGCGCAAATGTTACTTTGTAATTTAAAATTTTGTAAAAACTGATGACTTACTAGTAATGTAGATCGAAGTGTGTTAAACCTTTCTGGAGCTAGTGTGAACATCTCTTGAGTTATAAATGAATGACATTATCAATGAAAGCCTTGTGACAAGTTCATGCTCACAAAAGTGCCATTGTATCAAAGTTCAGGTTATATAAATTTGTGACCACTAATGATAATGCAGTTCACTTTCTGTTTCTTTTCCAAATTGGCAGAGATTTAAGGTTTAAGAAATTTCTGGTAAAGCTGGCTGCAGGGTCTGGGAGTCATCTAGCAGAAACATTTGACAGTAAATGAACAAATTTAATTAATTTTACTGACCCCCTCTCAAGTTTAAATGGAAGTAGGGATTGGTCAGCACTTGTCAATGCCATGGACGGTGCATTAAATGTTGATATTGCTGTTTTATTTTTCAGATAAATTCAAGTCTTTGGGAGTATTGAAAGAGATAAAGAAGAATACTAGGAAACAGGCTGACATTTATTGTGGAAAAAACAGCAGGAGAATTCTTAGTGAAAGCGCCCAGATCAAAATTAAGAAGAAGAAAAATCAAAAGTGAAACCCTTTGTGGAATTAAAATATTAAGAAGGAAAACTCCAACAGCTGAGGAATATATGTGATAAAATATAACATACCATTTATTTTAGTTTTATACCCATTGCTACCTCTGAAAAAAATCAGAACCAAATAACTACAACATTTATGAGAAGTCTTCTTTATTTATCATTTATTGAGTTAAGTGTATTAATCCCAGAAGCCAACCTGAAAAGGTGACTGTACTTAAAAAAATTGTCTTTCATCAGTCAACTTTATCAGTTGTATGTTTTGTAAGAAAAACTAAAAAAACAACTCAGCATGAAGGAAAAAGAGCATAAAAATCCCAACAGTATAGAACTGATGGGTTACATACCAGCACAACCCCAGTCAGATTCAAATGGAGAAATAAAACAAAATAACAATTCAAAAAGAAACGGCGAGCCTCACTACACACATCACCGTGTAGACTTTAAGGATGAGGATGATGATGAAGGAGGATTTACGGAGATTCCTTTAAATGGAAGAGCGGACCCCGCGTCTTCACAGCCTGTGGATCATACTGAGGTGGATGTAGAGGTGAAACAACCCAAGTGGTGAGTACTGTTATTACTCTTAAATTTCACACACATTATAGTTACTGTAGTATTAGTTACAGTTAGTGGTGGTTGTCCTGGCAATTGCTTTCCCAAACTTTTTGTAGAGAGAGAGAGAGAGAGAGAGAGAGAGAGAGAGAGAGAGAGAGAGAGAGAGAGAGAGAGAGAGAGA